AGCGGGTAACATGCTATATTAGATTCCAACAAGCCTACGCAAAAGGGATTGAGGTGCCTCTTAGCCAACCGGAGAAGTGTTTGAGAGGCTGCAAACATTTCGTGCTTCAAGGCTTGGTTGCAGGCGAGAGTCCTCTGCAAACCGTTCTTCACGCAGTTTTTTTTCCTGAAAGAAACATTGGGCCAAAGCCCTATCCTGCTGTTCGTCATCTTTCCGGGTTGACCATTGGCAACATCAAGCAGCCAGTAAAAACACAACTACACCAGCATAGACCCCAGATAGAAGCGCTTTCACACCAGCACCTCCAAAAGCACCCCCCCCCGAAGAACGCCCCAAGCAAAACACGGCCGTCAATCGAGCAAAAATGCGCCCGCACCATCACCCTGAAGAGCACCCCAAACAGCACCCCCCAAGACACCCAGCCGTCAATCTTGCGAAAATCAACCAGCACCCTAAACAGAATCCCAAACCACCACCTAAGCTGCATGCCGCCCTGCGCCCCAACGTCACGATGCAACCATGTACCTGCACCGTCACCTGCATACCGGGTAGCACCCGAGCGTCAATATCTCAAAAAATTGCCCGCGCCGTCACCAGCACCTCAGACAGCTCCCTACAAAATGTGTACACAGCACCATCAGCAGCAGCATCCCAAACTGCATTCCCCCCTGCGTCCTACCGTCAAGCTGCAGAAATGCGCGTGCACCGTCACCCTCTCAACACAGCACCTGCACAAGCACCCGAAACTGCATACCCCCTAGCACCCTACCGTCAATCTTGAAAAGATGCGCGCGCACTGCCATCAGCACCTCAAACAGCACCCCAATCAGCACCTACACCATCACCCCAATCCGCACGCCCCCTAGCACCAGCCCATCAATCTCGCAAATCACTTTCCCCTCTTTATGAGAAGTTAGTACCCCTGTAGCTTTCAGCTATCTGGGGAAAGAATATTCTTAAGCAGTTTGATCCCAAGTTGGTCCACCAAAATGCGACGTTTCCCATACCCCAAGTCCGGCCTCAGATCCGACTCCAGCTGCTTGGCCTGTGCTCACGGAGGGTCACCGTTTTCTGGAGGTGTCTTCTGTTGAGGGTACCCAGTTGCTTTCTGCTCCCCTGCTAAAAGTTTAACTTTTTGAGGTTTAATGGAACACCCATTACTTGGCTAACAAGTTAAAGTCCTAACATCCAGGCAAAATGCAACAAACGGTATGCCCCGTTTGATGGTTTGAAGGAAAACCAACAGCGAAACCACCTGTTGGACGGGAGGGGGTTCCCCTAGAACGAAAACCTTCTGGGTTGGACATAGGTAGAAGACACCTCGTGAAGGTTCGGATGTGAATGATCACCTTGGATTTGGTGACTTTCTCTCTTGGATGTATATACATGTAGAAATTGAGCCTGGCCAAAGCAAGCAGTTCGGGAGTTTTCTAACAACCCTTATATTTGCTTCTGGGTCAAAATTTAACCACCCGCAGGTTTTAGTCCTTGGTTACATTTTCCAGGCTTCTATTTGGGGTACCGTTTTTGAGCCACAACCATGCGTATAATGTTAACCCCGGATTAACAAATTCTGGTTGATTTTCATCGGGGGGTGTCCCGTGTTAGTGGTTGGATTCAGACCACTGTTGGAGGGGTTTCCACCTCCCTAATAATGGGTTTCGGGTTCTACTTAGATCCTGGGTCAACATGAGTCTTTGGTTCATTTCAGTGTTTCTCGAAATAACGACACCCATTTCCTGGGTCAACGAACTCTTGGCTGTCGTGTCTCTCTTGGCAGAATGAGTCCGGCCGAAAAGCCGCCAAAAAGAAAAAGCGCCTGCCTGCTCCAAGTGCTTCGCGTAGTACCTCCAAGAATTGGTCCTGAGCGAGCGAGCGAACTCAGCCCAAAGGACTCAAGTCGGGCTCATCGCCTTCCATTTCACCAAGGACCTTTCGGAGTCTTTACCAAAGATAGACAGCTGGAAAATCAAAAGGTCAAAAGGTCGGCTTTGGGCTGAGATTTGGTTAAGACCCCGGGGAAAAATACAAAGATATCTCCAGTAGTGAAATCGATCCCCTGTAAAACCAACAGGGGAAAAACATGAATTCATTTCAGCAAGTGGAAGCAAACTGATGAACCGCAAGCCTCGTTTTCTGCGGGGAGCCTCTCGCCAGCAGTTGCCATGTTCCAATTTGGGTAACTGCGATAAAAACTGATGGCTAGGTGCATCGTGGAGGTGTTTGTTGGCCTGGCACTACAAATAAAACATCGCCGCCTGCGGGCCTGCGAGTTACTAACTTCTGTTGTGGACGGCTTGCTGCCTGTCCAAATATCCCCAGAGTAATCCAGCCAGGCAGTCGGTGCTTTCTGCATGGGCAAGTTGTGAAGTACAAAAGGTGGCTGCGTTCTATGGGATCCGGAAGCTAGGCGAGAATTGTGTTGAGGCTGGTCTTCCTTAATGGATAGGACTACAAAGATGCAATTGAACATATGCCGAGCTCATAGTCTTCTGCAGGCCTATCGGGGACTCTCCTCATGAACATCTTCATCGAGCAGTTGCATGTGTGCGTAGATTCGAGTTGAGCCCATGTGTGTACTGCAAGCAGTATTTGTGTTTGTCATGGATAGGGTTGAACTAGAAAAAAACAGCAACACCTCGAGCTGTTGTGCTTTGGCAAAAAAAACAACAACAAACAAACAATGTCCGGGCTGGTCTTCCCGGTATAAGTTATACTCAGGTGCAACCATCAGAAAGCCCAAGCCAACTGTGCGTGTTTGGTCCGAAAACCAGACAACGGTGAAGATAGAAAATGAGGAACACCAAGAAAAACGAGAAAACAACAAACGAAACAAAGAAGGCTCAGGGCAACTTCTGCCACATGTGTGTGTGTGTGCGTTTGGTCTTCTCGAGGTTGTTTCGTTGTTTTCCTCAAGGTGTTCTAATTCTATGTCGTGATGAACGCACATGCACGTACTTCAAAGCCCAATGCACATACGTCAAATCCACAACAAGTTAAACACATCAGGCGGTGTTCCAAAAATGTGAACAACTTGTGTGGTCTTGAAAAGAAAAGTCCAACACGTCCTGGCGCATCGAACCATATTTTGGCTTACTAAACCATGTGATGATTGAACTACATTTGTTCTATGTAACGAGGACAACGGTAGTTCATAGGGAGAGGCATGAGCTTTTATATGTAAGGTACATTTTTGGGATTTCTTCCATCTGGCTGTGGGTAAAAAAAATAGGGTAACCCCATAATGGCATGGAACCCTGGTAAATGGAACCAAGAACTAAAACCTGCGGTCGGAGTCCCCTGTCGGTTGAAAATTTTGACCCATAATGTTGACCCCATAATGTTCCCCTCCAAAAGTGATAAATCCCCACAAAATCGGAGACACCCCCATATCAATCAACAGGAGTTTATTAATCTGGGGTCAACATGGGTCAACATTACCCATCTAGGGACGCTACTTCGAGTTGAATCCGCACGCCTCCGGCTCGTGGCTACGTCTGAGCTCTGCACGCCCTCAGGGACTCTCTGGTCTTCTCCGGCTCATCCTGCGAGAACTTTGTCGTGACCAGGGATGTTCCTAGGAATGAGGGAATGGACCGGAAACAAGATCCCTTAAAGGAAACCACCAGTTGGATGGTTTATATAAGGGTCATTCCATCTGCTGAGCACCAGCAAGGTTCGTAGCTTGGCAACAAAAAACCGAGCGCCCCAACAACGTGAAGGACAGCTGCACTTGTCTTACAATTCCAAAAGCAGAATTAGTAATTATTGGTTGAGCAAACGTTTAAATTTTAGCAGCTAAGTGGGGAATTCCCACTAAACCACAATAAGCAAAAATGTAAAATGCTTCCCAACGACAACCATGAATTATTCGGATCCCTAAGTGAATGACCTTTATCATTATAATCTCGTAATAATTACCCGCGAGCGGTGAGCTCACTACAAAATCGGCAGAACAACATCGTTTCTCAAGCAGTTACAGATTAAATAGCCAACACGCCAGTCCGAACGTCTAGTTGTATGATCTAAAAGAGAAATCACGCAGTAAACGACCAACTCGGTCGTCTATGTTGGGAAATCCTCCTCGAACACCTTTGCACCCAACTTTCAACCTGTGGCTCAAAATCAAAGAGCTAGGGTTACGCAGGTGTTGGTCTTCTAGGTCCTCCCGTAGAGAGGATAGAATAAGGGTACCAACTTTTTTCTGTAGTGTATTTTAGTAGACGAAAACCCAACGCCAACCCAAAAAGTTTGGTTAACAGTTGGCACCTAGCTGGGGGACCTGGTCTTTAGCTCCATTTACCAAGGGGCCATGTTGGGTACCATTTGCTGTCTGTGAGGCTTCTTCTCCCTCGCTGGTCCCGTGTTCTCCAACTTTCGGGCCCAAGCCATTTGCCTCTACCTTCCATTTGTGTTTTCGCCCGGCAAAAATGATAAATATATTAAATGGAAGGGGAAATAATAGAATTGTTTTATTTCCAAAGGAAATACTATTCAATGGAATCTGTGACTTCTAAAATATTAAATAGGGGAACCTTCCATTTCCAGAAGTCACAAATTCCCTTTAAAACCCACAGTGGGAAATCAAAACAAATCACTTCTGCAAATGGAAGGAACATCTTTCGGGCATTCGCCGTGTCCGACCCACACCGCGCCTCCAGCTTCATGCGGAGGTCGTCCAGCTCCCGGTGCAGCGTCGCGAAGTTGCGGCACCTGGAAAGGTTCTTTTGCGACGACTCGATGACCCCGGACTAGTAAACCACTGTTCCTAGGTCCTTGAGTAGAGAGGTTAGACTAAGGGTACCCTTTTATCCTCTATTTATTAGTGGAACCCTCCCCCAAAAAAGGGTAACAGGGCACTACTGGGCGACCTAGCCACTGTTGGTTAATATGGGGGTGTTCCCCTCCAAGAGCGGCCTGAGTCCCCACGAAAACCAGGACACCCCCATATTAATAAACAGCTTTTTGTTAATCCCCTTGAACACTCCCCCCCCCAACTTGCGGTTTCCCAGTGAAAAATGCTGAAAGCCTGGCATTTCGAGAGGCTTTCAGAATGACTCTTGGGGGGGAACCACCGTATTTCATCGCAACTTTGAGGATGTCTTGTTCAAACGGAACCAGCTCCAGGTCAAACAGACCGGCCGACAACTTGCTCACAAGGGAACATGTTTGGATGCGGGGGCAAGCTTTTGGAGGTGTTTGTTTAAGCACACACCCAAAAGCTGCCCAAGCACACACCTCCAAAAGCTGCCCTATTTTGAGACAAACCCTGTTACGGGTGCGCGCAAAGCCCCCGCCCGGCCGAAAAATAAATGACACACATGTTTGAACTTGGGGGGTTAGTGAATTGACTTAGCTGGGTTGTAACGACCCCTCTGTAAAAAGTGGTTCACATTGGGCTGAGCTCACGACCTTCAACCACAAAGCGGTCTCAAGCCTTACGGGAACCATGAGGGGAGCCCGAATGACTAGCCCCATTTTCAACATGTTTGAACAAGGAGCTCTTACACAACCTCTCGGCTTTCCTTTCAATGGAGGCCAGGGTCTGCTTTAGAGCTTTGCCCAACCTGAGACGAACCCAGGACCTCTGAACCGACTTGCCTACGCGGCAACCGCCGTGCTGCGAGGTGGCTTCAACGGGCGCTTCAACAGGGATCCGGATGCATACACCTGAACATTGCAACTTGTAAATGGTGGGAAACCGCTTTTTTTTGGTGTTGAAAAAGCCACATGTTTCAAATGGTTGCAAAATGGAGATCTTTTAAGGAGCCCTGTTCAAGGCTCGGGATTTTAGGCGTAAGGGTTACCACCTTTTGGAAAGAGATCTTAGACTCTTCGGCTCAGGGCTTCTTAAAGGGGCGATCGGGGCGATTGGCAAGCCTGGTTCTCACCCACTGAATGGTGACTGAGCATAAGTGGCTTACAACCCACTATACATCCAATGACCAGAAGTGGCTCTTATAACCATGGCATACCATGGTTCTTACCCACTTACTAAAATATTTCGCCCCTTGAAGTACGGTTCCTACGAGAGCCTTCCTGCCCTATCCTCAGTTGTTCAGTGACCCTGGAAAAAAGAAAGGGAACCCTTTTTGGGGCTTGGACCATGTTTAGTGGGGCCACCCAAAAAAAAAAGGGGGAAAAAGACTTGGTGCCGCTGAACAACTGAGAAACCCAATGGGCTGGAGCCAGACTCCCAGACTGGGCCCTCCAGGCGTGGCGGAGTGGCCGTTGCGACAGGCGTAGCCTTCGTGGCCCAACTGCCCCGTGAATTTTTGTCCGAACGAACCAATGGATTGGCGAACAAATAGGACCCAAACTAACCAGTGGATTGGCCTAAACAAAGTATATACCCATGATTTTTGTTTGCCACTGAAATGGTAACCAAACCCAAGTGAGTAAATTAGTAAAGTCCGCAACGAGTTGCCAGTGGGTTGCGTCCAAATCGGTGACTCCACCCATTCTGGGCGGGCCTTTTGGGGTTCTGTTCAAGTTCTCCCCGAAAAGGGTACCCTCACAAAAGCACTCACATCCCCACATTCTGAACTAAGTAGTGCGGTACAACAAGTAACTTCACAGTGACAAGATAGTCAGCCAGGTTCAAAACAGCCGGTGCTTCCAGTTGCAGGGGATCAAAGGGACACCCGCAATGCAAGAGAAATGCGTGAGCTCTGTGTGGCTTAATGGCTCGGATCGAGGCGAAGGCCAGGCCCAGTTCCAGTGCCCGGGGGAAACTGCCAACACCCATAGGTTCGGGTTCTAGGTGGCTAGAATAAGGGTACCAACTTTTTCTCTGTAATCTATTTTAGTAGGGGAACATTCCCAACAAAAAAGTTGGTAAAAGGGCACTGCTGGGGGACCTAGGGTGTCTTCGCCTCAAAACCCTTAGGAGACTGGGAAAAGGGGCTCATTGAAGTGACATTCTAACCCAAGATGAGGGAAATACCTTAATGCAATTTCGAGCTGTTGGGTTGCTAGCCTTTAACTACGTATTGCAAAACTTGCAATACGCTTTGGAACCCCAAAGGACTTCATAAATAAACTCGCTCGCAGACCCCAATCGGTGGTAGGGAATTGCCTTGTTCACGTGGCAACCCATGGGTTCTAACCAATGGGATTTGATTCGATGCCTGCTGCGGGCATTCTCCTTTGGCGCTTGCGCAATCGGAGCCCCGTTTTACTACTTGAACGCGTCCCTAGGTCGAGCCTAGGCTGTTTGCCACAATGGTCCTTCAAAAAAAGTCTTAAGCAAGCATCTGGACCAGATTAAGACTGCCAAACATGAGCGCAACCGCTTCAACGTTCAACAAGACTTGTCCCTATTCGATATTCATCATTCTCTCAGTTGTTCAGTGACCCTGGAATAAAGGGGCCCCTTTTTGGGGAAGACCATTTTTAGTGGGGCAGCCACCCAAAGAAAAGGGGAAAAAGAATTGGTGCCACTGAACAACTGAGTTCTAGCCAAGGGCTAAAAGACCCGAACGATGGTAAACCACACCCAAGGGGCTGTGGGTCAAAAATAGGTTCCCCAAATGGGTTGCCCTAGTAAGTGGAAACATGCACAAAAACCTGCGGTCCAATTCCTGGTGGTTTAATTTTGACCCATAGCCACTTTCTAGGCCAAGTTTCCCCAAGTGTTCTTCCATTTGCTTAAGCCCCCCGGGGGAAAAAAAGAAAAACATATTTCCAGTAGTGAAATCGATTCCGTTTAAAACCAAAAGGGGAAAATAACAAATCTGCCCAAGGCAACCGAGGTCTTGGCTGGCCGCTGTGCGCATGACCTGCTCCCGGGAGTACTTGGCCTCCTGGTGCCAAAACCGATCGGTGGCGGCGGTCAAAAATAGGGTAACCCCAAAATGTGTGTGTCTAAGGGCTTTTCTACATACCCCGAAACCACATACCCAAAAAAAGTTGACTATATAGTGGTTGTACAGGGGTTATACAAGGTTGCCCTGGTAAATGAAAACATGGACAAAAACCTGGGGTTTTACATGCTGGTGGTTTAATTTTGGCCCATACTCAGATGGTCTACCCAGAACCAACGGTTTTCAGACTTCAAACCATTTTGCCGACACGGCCCACAAAAACTGGCCCTGGTAGGCTAAAGGGTGCTAAACCTTGATGAACCCCCAGCGGTCAAAGTAAACTACCCTAGAAAGGGGGGAGGCCGGGGGAGGGGGGGGGAGGGGGGGGGCAATGCTGACCTCGCATCTAGGTAGAACCTATGGCGGAATTAACAGCGCTCTCGGATCAGCGCGGGTTTCAGGGCTTGCCTTTTGGCATCCGGTTCGGTTGAAGGTAGAGGTCAGCGTTGTTTTTTTCAGAACCAGGGCGTCAAATCCCCAAACCACCAATCCAAACCACCAACTAAGGGTTACCTGAAGTGTTAACCCCGGAATAAAACGAAACCTGGTTGACCAATCGGCAGTGTCCCCTTTTTAGTTGGAAATCCTTCAGTTTGGTGGATGACACCCCGTGTACGTAGGATGGGTGCATTTATCCGGGGTGCCCGTTAAGGAAGAGTGCGAACGTAACTCAGGCTTAAATGGCGTGACCATGTCAAGGAAAATGGGCCAAAGAGTATCCCTATGACTACTTTGTCACATTCCATTGGGGATTCGCTTTGCAACACAGAATTGGCCGCAAACCCATTTCTTCACAACCATTCTGGGAGCTAACAACAAGCAAACAGGCCGCGTGCGAGCAACGAGACCCTTTTCGAGCCGGCTTTCCAAAGCAAACAAATATATGACAGCTCGCATCTGCAGGGATCCCCCGTGTTTTCTGCAGGGATCCCCCGTGTTTTCTGAAATAGTAACCCTTGGGATGACTTGCATCACTGCATTTCCCCTTCAAAAGTTGCAATTTACTAGTTGATGAGTTTCCATTTCAAGCTGCCAAGAAGGAAAACGGGAAAAACAACGCCTGGAAAAAAGCATCGCCCCTTCCGCACCCGAGCAGTTGCAACAGACCCCACAGTTCCCGCCTGCTCGTGCCGTGCCATATCATGCAGCGCCTGGTGGGCCGATCTGGGTTTACCCTTTGCTTGGTTGACGTTGGAAGGGGAGCAAAATTTAAATTTTAGCAGTTAAGTGGATTTGGATTTCCCACTAAACTACAATAAGCAAAAATGTAAAATGTTTTCCAACGACAACCATGTTTGGAGCCTTGACTCAACATGGCCACCACCCTAACACCCCCAAACCCTAAACCCCCCAAAAGGGGCGACTGAAAGGTCAAAAGGATGATTCGCTTCGGGCAAGAGCACGGCGAGACCGGTTCATCTCGTGCGCAGGCTGGTCACGAGGCGACTTGTGGGCACAGCGCGAGTTCTCTTCAAGCTGAAATGAGGTACGGCCAAGCAAGGAACCTTCATTACTACCATGTCCTTGCAGACCTTCAGTAGAGAGGTTAGAATACGGGTGCCCGATGTGTTTTTTTCTTTGTTTTTCTGAAAGTCTATTTTAGGGGAACCCTCTCAACCAAAAAAGAGTAATAAGGGCAATACTGGGGACCTAGATGTCCTTGACCTCCTGGTTTCTCCTTAGCGCCCTCTTTAAAGGCAAATTTGGACATCCCCAGCCCGGCTCCTTGGCCCCCTTCCAACCACCAGCTGGCTTATCATTGTGAGGCGTGCAGAGGTTGCTCCAATTTTAGGCAAACACATCCTCCCGAGTCAAACAGCCACGCCCGTTCAAATGCCAGTTGATTGCTGTCTCCATGACTACATGTCACTTTCTTTTGCGGATTCTCCTGGCTGTGGTATCACAAAATGTGGGCCAAAGCAACTCGTTTGGGTAGTTCAATTGGGAATCTTTTGGTGGGCGTCATTTACACAGAGGCATTTAGGGGCGTCCCCAAGTAATATTCATACACCCTCAAAGAACGAAATCCAGAAAGTGAGTTCGATTTGTCCGAGCTGGTGAACATTTCCCACATCCCGTTGCCTAGAAGCCCCTGACCAACCTTTGCATTGTCTAAACCCTTACGGTTACTGATCATTCCTTCCATTTCTGGAAAACTTCATATTTCCAGCAGTGATAGAGTCCCTTTGAAACCAAGAGACGGAAAACAAACACACTTTCTTTTCAGAAAATGGAAGATCCCCACCATTGGATTGTCTTGATGCACTTGAGTAAGCCAAAGTGCACCCTAGCCATCGTCTCCCAAGAAGACATGGGACATTCCGGGCTTGTCCCGCAGATTTGGTGAGCCCATGTCGCTCCCAAAGCGCCCAACGCCCCTTGACTTTGGGCAGCACCGTGATTCTAGATGTTTCCACTCACTATCCTTGTCAAACCACAGGCAGAAACTACTCGCATGGCGCTTTTGGGGAGTGGCCGCTGACATGGGTGTTTCTCAAAATAGGGGACCCCTTTTTGGATGGGTAAGTGAAACCAAGAGGAACCAACCACCTTGAGGGGTCCCCGATTTTGAGAAACTCCCAAAATGGCAATGGGTCAAAATCCCGTACCCCCAATCAACATCCCAATCCCCACTAAAATAGGTTCTACAATGGGTGGTGCACCTACCCCAACATGATACCATTGGTTTTGACCCACAGCCATTTGGGTATGGGTCAAAATTCAACCACCAGGGGACCGCAGGTTTTAGTCTCTGTTTCCATTTACTAGGGTTTCATTTGGGGTACCTATTCTTGACCCACAGCCACTTGGCCTCGCTTACCCCTCCTGCTTAATTTTGAGCCACACCCACATGAACATGGTTGGGAAATGACCACTTCTGTGATACAGCAAAAAGGGCTTCCCAAAGACTAACACCCCTTTTTTAAGGGGGAGATTCCCAAAAGTATCACAGAAGTGGTTGGATAAACCCCTTGATTCCACAACCCTGCACATGAACCATAGCCTGGACCTGACCGAGCTTTGTCGCCTGCTCGAAGGCAAAGTAGTCGCCCACCAGGCTGCCGCGCGGGCTGGCAGAAGGCACCTGCGAGTCCGAGCGAGTGGATTGGCTCCGAAACGTCAAGCACAACTGGTCTTCCACTCGCTTAAGCCCCCTGGAAAAAAAAACAAGAAGATGTTTCCAGTATATAGTCAAATCGATTCCCTTTTAAAACCAACAGGGGGAAACAACAAGAAATCATCTTTTCAGCAAGTGGAAGTGGTTGTTTCCCACTAAAACGGGCTTGCAAAAAGCTGGCTCAAGTCCGGGAGCTCTTGCGGCGCTTGCAACGCTGGCGTGCTTGGTACAAGGAGCACCTGGTTTGACGGCTGTGGCGAATTCAAAAAACCGGAAAATTCCGAAATGGGTTGCCCCGGTAAGTGGAAACATGGGAACCCAAAACCCGCGGAAGGTTTGCCCCTCCTGTTTAGTTTTGAGCCACAGCCAGACAACTTGGTCAAATACCCCAGAAACCGGTGTCTTGCAAAGGGATGTCGCTTCAGGGCACGCCTTCGGAATGGCGAGATTTTCCGCTGGCTCGCCCAGAAAGGGAGGGATCCACACATTCTTCTGGCATGTGGGTTCAGTAGACAAAAACCTCCCTGGTGTGGTGGGTTTGCTCCCCTTCAAAACCATCCACTCGCGTACTTGCGCAAAAGCCGTGGGAATAAAAAGAGAGAAGAACACATTTTGTTGGCGGTTTATTTTGAAGGAAACCCTGGATGAAGTTGTTTTTGAAGGAACCCCGGCCGAAAAACGGCGCCAATGGGCAACTGGGTCCATTTCGGGGCAGCTCCCATGTTGGGAAACATCCACTTAGTGGCTGCTTGAAAACAGCTTCTTGGTCAGGGTTTTGAGCAGGCTGCCATTCTTTCACTACCCAAAGGTAGACTTAAACTAAAAAAAAAAAAAACATGAAGCAACCCCAGGTCAACACCTACCTTGAAAAGTTATTTTTAGACTTATTTGGTTTTACCAACACGGCCCCTATCAACTTTGGTCATCATCATCATCATCATCATCATCATCATCATCATCATCATCATCATCATCATCATCATCATCTCACTTCCTGAGTGTGCAGGTCAAAAAAGTCCAAACATTAAATTCTATACCACTAAATATGTCGTTGACCACTAAAAGGGTCCAGAAAGGTCACAGTCCGAAACGGCACTCGGAAGACAATCCTTGAGAGGCGTCCTTTCAAGGAACCCCAGAAAACCGATCCAACAAAGGGACCCCTTTCCATCCATTTGCTTAAGTCCTCTGCAATAAAACCTATATTTCCAGCAGTGAACAGTTTCCCTGGGGACAATTGAAAACTCGTCTCAAGCAAACGGAAGCTTCAGAGAACCCATGTCCAGCTTACCCCTTAAAACTCCAAGGATTGGCGAAGTTCTCATCTTTTGCAGACAAAAAGCCCATGAAACCCCCAAAAAGTTGAGACAAGTTGTGTTTTTAAGAGGTAAGCTTCAGCTTTGGGCTTTGATTTCTCGATCCCTTGGCTTCCGCCCGGACCCCAACGCCTCTGGCTTTGAGCTGTGCTCCAACCTGGTGAGTCGCGAGCTGAGAGTAGGAAGGGCCCCGGCCCCCAAAACCCCAGCACCCAAAAAGGTCAAGGTAAGGGTAAAACCAAAGAATTCGAAGCCCCACTGCCATCTGCTTCCAGTAGTGATAGATTAGATCCCCTTTAAAATCAAGAGGGGAAAATTAACAATATTCTTAAGCAAATGGAAGTCTAGGAACCGGAAAAGAACTGGTTCGTAGAGACATTCATTTCCTCATGTCGCTATCGAACCAGCACCAATTCTCCCTTTCGCATTTCTCCATTCACGGCGCCCTTAAGGTTGACTCCTGATTCACAAGCCCCCCAGTCGATGAATGAAAGGGTCACCCTTCCGAATCCTTGACAATATCTGATTCCGCTCCAGATTTAGTCTACCCCAAACTGATCCGTCGCCAAACAACTTATGTGCCACACTGGAGTATCTCTTAATCCTTCTTTTAAAGACTCGCCTTCGTTTCGTGGATGTTTTGGTCATGTAATCTTGTAGTCACTTCCCGTAGTCACTTCCCGTAGTCTTCCCGTAATCTTCCCATCATATTCCTCTAAAATACTTGCCGTAGTCTTCCGGTTACGTCAATCGGAAGTCGAAAGAGCCAATACTCACAAAACCAAACATGTCCAAAAAAAGCTTCGCTTTCGGCTCCGTCTGGCCTTCGTTTCAAGGCCTGTTTACGCTCTGCAAAGCCACCAGATGCACAACGAGTCCTTCGCTTTTGAAAGACTCGCCTGCGTTATTGGGAGTTTTCACCGGACATATTCCTTGTACCCAGGTCCAAGGGGTTCGTGTGGAGTTGCTGGGGGGGCGGGGGGGGTTTTGATGGCAAGAAACCCCGCCCAAAAGCTCGCGAGACGCGGCTTGCAGCGGGAAAACCCCGGAACGCCACCCCCGATGCAGTGGGAAAACATGGGCGTGCATTTCTTTAGGCCCCTCTGAAATGGCATCGGTTTTCCTGGTGCTTCCCCAAAAAGGGTAGCCCCCAAACAAAACTGCACCACCAAAGAAACCCTGCTACCCTGCAAATACCAACAATGAATGGTTTCCAATGGATTCAAAGCGGTGCAGGATTTCGGCCATCCACGGTATGTATTATTATCCTAAAACATCAAAAGTTCAAGATCCAACCCAATAGCATTCATACCATTCCCTATTCCATCCCCACACCCTCCCAGACCTTCCTCCAACATCGCCCACAAATGGGTGTTTCGTTCTTCAGGGGACCCCCCCCAAAACAAAATAAAGAGAACTGTTGGTGTCCTTGCAGTTTCTCTCAGGTACTCTCAAAAAACCGACCCCACTAGCTCAGATGCCAGTGGCCATTGAAAAAAGGATTCGGCAGCCGCTTTTTGTTGGGTTGGTTGAGTTTAAAGGAATCGGAACCCTTACCCACAGAAAGTTGACAAAAGGGGCGGAATCCACTGGGCAACTGGGCTAGGTCCTCCAGTAGAGAGGTTAGAATAAGGGTAACCTTTTCTCTGTAGTCTATTTTAGCAGACGAAAACCCTCCCAACCAAAAAAGAAACGGTGAGAAAGTTGGCACCTGGCTGGGGGACCTAATGTTGACCCAGGATTAATACACCCCTCCCATTATTAGGGGGGTGGAAACCCCTCCAAAAGTGGTCTGAATCCAACCACTAAAAGGAATGGGACACCCCCCGATCAAAATCAACCTGGGGTTCTACTTAGATCCGGGGTTAGCATTACCCCACAATCCCGTTCTACCTATTTTAGCAGGGGAAGGACTGGGAGAAGGAAATGGTCAGAAAGCCCAGCGAGAGTTGCGAAGCCGAGTCTCCCACGCCCGCTGCTTCAGGCTGCCGACGGGGCCAGGCGCCTCAGCTAGTCTGGCAGACACCACGCCCTACTCCAAGTATGTTAGGGTACATATTTAGTTTGTTTGAGGCGTTTTTGAGGGATGTACTGATTTTAGGGTACTGTTTGGGTATGCAGTTTTGCAGGGTGCTTGGTTGGAGTGGGTTTTTTTGCCAGTTTTTTGAGGCTACGTATTTTTCTTGAGGTGTTTTCGCGTGTACTTTCTTGGGATATTGTCTTTGAGGGTACCCGTTTTCGGAGGGGTTTAGAGGGGTTTAGAGGGGTCTAAAGGCCAGCTAAATTCCACCCTTTCTAGTGGTGAACTAACATGAAACTGAAAAAAGTGGGTATTGGAGTAGGGGGTACCATTTTGCAGGTGTAATTTACGAAGATAATTGAGAAGAAAGACAATGACGGGAAGAAGGATGGGCGAGAACAGATGCGACGTTCAACTTCTTCTGAGTACGCGGTATGTAAAAGCCTTGAGGAAACAATGGGACCTGTTTTTGGGGGCGAATACGTCCGTCGCCTCATTCAACCAGAGTGGACACGTGGCTCAAGCTACGTGTTGCCAGAAAGAGAGTATGAAGGGGTCAAGGCCTCCGGAAGCAAACGTGTGCTGCGGCCAAAAAGTTTTGCGTTGCCGGGAGAGTGGTAGATTCTGGGTTGGCTTATTGGCGATGTTGGCTTTGTGCGGACCCCAAAAAAGTGGCTTTCCTTTGACTTCCCTTTAAACCCACCTAAACCAAAATCCCAAGACACAGCACCCATCTACGTTTCTCAGGATGCGCCCAACGGGGAAGACACCTGGCCCTTGAAGAAGGCCAACTACAAACCGAAGAAAGGGGAACTGCATGGCGTGTCTTTGTGTGAGGGCCCTTTTTGTGGCTTTGAAGGGAAGCCAAAGAAAAACCTCGCAGCTTAAGGCTTCCCCGAGTAAAGAATCAATCCCAGTGATCAATTCAATTCGATACCATCAAGTTACGCAGCTCAGAGATCCAACATGCCGTGCCAGGATGCCGAAGGCTTCCTGATGTTCTGGGAACTGTCCCGCTCGCTACATGCCCCCCAGCAGCCATGCGCAGAAGGGCGAACTTCTAAGAAATGGAACAGAAGGGCCACCTCTACTTCCATTTGCCTTTTCGCCCCCTGGCAAAAATGAGAAAATATGTCCAGTAGTCAAAGCGAGTCCCTTTAAAACCAACAGGGGAATATATATATATATATAAAAAAAAAAAAACAGCAAATGGAAGTCTAGGTTCTGGAAGTTTGCCTTCAAGTGTAGTACTGGCCCTCCCTTCTTCTCTATTGGATCCACGAAGAAGTGATCCTCGTTGTCAGGAAAAGGAAGGAAAAGTCGAAAGACCCCGCTGGATCCAGCTACCAACATGTGCGAACGTGTGGCGTTGTTGAAACCTCTGAAGCCTGTCCTTTTCTCCAACTGTTTTGGTGGGTCAAGCAAAGGAAAAGGGGTTTAGTCCATAGGTGTCCTTTCGAGAAAAAAAGAAAAAGAAACAAATGGCACTGGTAAATGACCATGAACTAAACTGAAACCAGTGCAACCTGTCCACACTCAACCAAATTGACCTAATCAAACAGGACACCTGCTTCCCTGATTAGCATGGAACGAATCTAGAAAACCATCATGTGGGGTTAATCAATCTTCCTGGTCCCAAAATGATTGTGGGTAATTCTCCCCTTTAGTGGGACATATCATCCCAGGTTCATTAGACCTTTTGATCAACCCCCATGTGAGGAATTTCTCCGTTTGGGATTCGAAACATTCAGGTCAAGCTGAGGTGAAGACGCTTAGCTGGCGCACCAGCACTGGCTTTGACCTCGCAACCCAGTGGGGTGATCTTGGGCCCATGTCGCGCGTCTTAAAGTAGGCCCCAAAAATGGGGTGTCCCTTTGGTTCCCCTCGAAACCCTCGAAAATGGCAGTCCTCAAACAAAAGACACCTCCAGGTTGAAAATACAGTTGTTTAAACAACCTCCGCATGGTTTTCCGGCTTTCCCCTTCAAGGCGGACCGTTTGGTTGTTTAAACCGACTTAACCCATGCGGCTCCCAAAATCTTTAGGCATAACCTTCCAAGTGGTACCTCAGCCTTCCGCTTTTCATCTCGGAACCCGTTAGATTTCGCGGTGGCATAAAGGGAACTCAAGGCGATGTGAGGGAGCAAACCAAGGCACAGGGGTCCAACAAAAATGGTGGACACCTTTTGGGTGGTTTTAAAGGGAAGCACAACAAAACCATCAATTTGAACCCCAATTCAGCAACCAAAGGCGACCAAGTAGGCCTTTGAACAGCTTCACGCCATTGATCCACAACCGGCGTTTGAATGGACCTCTGAGCCTTTAAGAGTGGTTGTGGTTCGCTGTCCTTCCCTTCCAAATAAGAGGACCCTGTTTTTCCAACCAACCCCCCCCCCCGCCGCGGGAAAAACCAGCGCAAGTGGCATCCCCGACAGCAGCGAAACTCTCCCTGCAAGCTGCTGCCCCGCACTACCCCTCATCGCCTACCTGGGCCCATCGACCCATAGCTTGCAGCTGTCGGGGGACAAAGTTTGTTTGCCTGTAGGCGTGTCTTCTTTTAGGCAACCCCCAAACTTGGCCAAACGGTTCTCCTTTGTGTCTTCCATTGAGACCACCCCGAAAAGGGTGCCCTCAAAAACAACACACCCCATACTAATTCATGTCCCCAATGATGTCCATGTCGTTTCTGTTTCCTCTTGGATTGCCATTTCAAACCCGCCAACACAAACGACCCCTCTTGGACTCCCTCTTGGACTCCCTTTTCAAACCCGCCCACAAAAAGGGGGTACCACCCAAAAACCAAGACGACCTCGTCTTCCTCGATCCCCCGAGGCCGCCTGGCCTGTTGGAGGCCATGCACTTCCCCGGCTTACTGGGCACCGGCCTGGCGCTTTTTTTTTTTTTTTTTTTTTTTTGTTTTTTTTTTTTTTTTTGTGTGTTCTTTCTGTTTTTGTGTGTTGTGGTTTTTGCTTGGTGTTTTGCTTGGTGCTGTGCTTGGTGTTTTGCTTGGGTTGTTGCTTTTGCTGTTTGCTTCTTGTTTTATCTAGTTTGTAGGGTGTTTGGTTGAGTTGTTTGGTTGATTTATAGCTTGGGTTGTTTAGTTTATTGTTTTGCTTTTTATCTAGAAGCCCAACCCACCTCTGTTGCTTTTGTTTCTCATAAAAAAACCCAGAACATGAACAGAACAGCTGGGGGTATGCAAATGTTTGATCTACTGTTTGGGGTCTTGTCCTTCTTCCCCCCCCCAAGACTTCCATTTTGGAACTCCCAACTTCGAGCCGCACTCGTATGGGTTGTTGGCTCCTAATATCTGCTTCCTGCTAAGTGGTTTGCATGGGTGATTTGGAGGCTTCCCATTTGCCCTCTAAAAGGAAGCAAGTTTTCCAACTCTAAACCACCAATCCAAACCACCAATTTGGCCATGAGGCTACCTGATGATATTCAACACTTGGCCGCCTTTGTTTACAACTATAAACAAGGGTTGCACTGGTTGCACAGCAATTTGGGGTTATCTGATAATACTCAAGACTTGGCCGCCTTTGTTGACAATTAGCTATCAAAGATGGGCTTCACCGCGGGATATGCCAGTTTATAGCCAAACCCAGGCAGGTCATTCATCAGCTCAGAAAAAAAAGCGGACCACACCTCGGAGAGGCCAACAAACAGATCGACTTGGGGCAACCAAGTCGTAAACTAGTTGAGGGGTCTTAAAGGATCTGAGCAAATTTTACCGCAACCAGAAATCCAAGTAAGGGATCCTCAAATCATGCGATGGGGTCACCCTCAGCTCGCTGCAGGATCACCAAGGACAAGGCCTTTCGATGGCTCAAGAACCCGCTGGGCGTGTCAATAGCGACCTGAGATTTGGAAACATCGGGGACCCACGTGAATAGCTGGTTTTTACAATTGCCCTTCAAAGACCATCTGGGCAAAATCTCCATAACTCCCAAACCGGACACATATGGGGAACCACGGTAAAGGACCTTCATCATGGGTGAGCTCGTCGACCCCCCAGCTGGATATGATTTGCCCAAAAGGGAGCTCCACAGCAACAACTTGCAGGATTCTCACGGGAAGGCTGGTGCGAGCGAGACTCTCTCAAGAAGCCTAGATGGCATAGACTCGGTGAAAATCATGCGAGGCGCAAGGGAACGCGGGGCCAATCCTGGCCAAAGCTGATACCGGTAAACCACGAGAGTTACGGCCTCGTTCGTTAACGGAAGTAACCAAACAAATCACTCCACCAAGAACGGCTATGCACCACCCATAGAATCAAAAAAGAGCTATGGATCTGTGAATTAAAATGGAAAGGCATCCACAATGATTTTGCTGATAGGAAGGCTGGCTGGAGCCTAGCTTCTCAGTGCTTCTGTGCACTTTTCAGCCTGTCGCCTGGCAAGAAGCCATCGATCCTGATTCACCTCCCATGTGGGTCCCTGTCGTTTTCAGAGCCGGTACCCCTTTTTGCCAGGTTTAACGGGACATCATCACACGTTGAAAACTCAAGCCATGCTGGGGGGTCCAAATCCTAGCTCAACTCTTCAGACCAGAAGGCAGCTAGATGACCCAATGAGAAGCATAATTTTGCTTCTGGGTGTTCAAACGCACGATGTGGCAACACAAGTTTGTTGGAACTTTGCATCTGGATGTTGCGAGGCTCCTCTTTCACAAAGTCTTCACTAGGTCTGGAACAAAACAAATACCAGAGCAGAGCAGCCTTGTGGGAATATCCACCATGGGCTGACAAAAAACTCCTTTAAGGTTCTTTAAGTTTTATAGCACCTCACAAACATAGGTGTCCTTTTAGGGGAAATAGATGGCCCTGGTAGATGATTCAACCACCATGTATACCAGGAGTCGCCATCTACTTTTCTACCCAAACGACCGAAAAGGACACCCTATGCATGGGTCTGGACCAAAACAAGTGCTCAACGGGTCTGGACCAACAAAGATACCGTGGGAATATTCACGATGGGGTGAGTTGGTTAAAAAGACAACACTTCAAGTTCTATGGCACCTACAGATATCCACGATCAACCAATTTGGCCAGGGTTGTGGGGAATGACCACTTCAATGATACAACCGAAAGGGCTTCCCAAAGACTCTTTTGTTCTTATAAAGGAGGATTCCCTTGTATCACAGAAGTGGGGAGAAACCCCTCGATCCCACAACCCTGAATTTGGCAGTTCTCCAGTTGGATCGTGCCTCATGTCCCAGGCCGGAAAGCGCCGGGTGCTGCTGTGCACCTGTCGCGGACCCACACCATTTGCATGGGCAAAACTTGGACCCCACTTTGGTATCCCCTTTAAAAGGGAATCGGCGGCAGGGCTCAAAAAGGGGCTACATATTTGACAACTTCTCAATAGTGTCTTTCTCAATCGCAGGTTGCGCACCTCCCACTGTCTTGTATTGCTGTGGGGGAAGGGATGTTCCCCTTCAATCCCCTGCTAAAATCTAGCAATTTTAGTGGTTTAGCGGAACCTACCACTAAAGCCTAAAATCCTCAAAAAAACCAAAGGGGATGGCTGGAAACCACCAAGTTTGGCCCCCCCCCCTGGCTTCGGAGGCTTCCTTTTGCTTGAAAACCATCCAACAGGAAAGACCTTTGGCGGTCGGTAGGGTTCCAGGCCGCGAAGTACAGAAACCAGGAGGAACAAAGCTCGGAGAAATTGTGTGGCCTCGCTCGATGTTTGGAACACACAGATTTGGACTCGGGCAACTAGGTGTGTTTCACTGCATCTATGTCTCTATGACTCTATGTATCCACATCTCCATGTGTCTATGTATCGATGTCTGTCTCTGTCTGTCTGTCTGCCTGCCTGCCTGCCTGCCTGTCTGTATGTCTGAGTGTATTCATGTATTGTATGCATTGTATGTCTGTATGGATGCATGCATGTATGCATGCATGCATGTACGCATGCATTTATGTATGCACGCATGTATGTATGCATGTATCTATGGATCCATGTATATATAATATGCATCGATGTATCTGTGTATCTATGTCTGTCTGTCTGTCTGTCTGTCTGTCTGTCTGTTTGTCTGTATGCAAGTATGTATGAACGTATGTACGTGTGTACGTATGTACGCATGTATGTATGTATGTATGTGTGTCTGTCGGTATGTATGAATGTATGTACGTATATACGTATCTACGTATGTCAGTATGTCCGTATGTACGTATGAACGTATGAATGTATGAATGTATGAATGTATGAACGTATGAATGTATGAGTGTATGAATGTATGAATGTGTGAATGAAGGTATGTATGTGTGTATGTATGTATGTATGTATGTATGTATGTATGTATGTATGTATGTATGTATGTATGTATGTATGTATGTATGTATGTATGTATGTATGCGTGTGTATGTATGTATGTATGTATGTGTTGCATGTATGTATGTATGTATGTATGTATGTATGTATGTATGTATGTATGTATGTATGTATGTATGTATGTATGTATGTATGTATGTATGTATGTATGTATGTATGTATGTATGTATGTATGTATGTATGTATGTATGTATGTATGTATGTATGTATGTATGTATGTATGTATGTATGTATGTATGTATTGTATACATGCACTGTAGCTATGCATATATGCATGTATTTATGTATCTATGTATGTATGTATCGATGTATCTGTGTGGGTAAGTCTGCATGCATGCATGCATGCATGCATGCATGTATGTATGTATGTATGTATGTCTGTATGTGTGTGTGTATGTATGTGTGTATGCATATATGTATGAATGTATGCGTGTTTGTGTCTGTCCGTCTGTCCGTCCGTCCGTCCGTTCGTCTGTCTGCCTGCCTGTCTGTCTGTATCTATATATCTATGTATCCATGCATCTATGTGTCTTTGTATCAGTGTACGTATGTTGTATGTATGTATGAATGAATGAGTGTATGTATGTACGTATGTATTTATATGTATGTATGCATGTATGTATGTGCGTGTGTATGTATGTATGCATGCATGTATGTATGTATGTATGTATGTGTGTGTGTCTGTCTGTATGCATACATGCATGCATGTATGTATGCATGCATGTATATATATATATATGTATGTATTTATGTATGTATCCATACATGCATGCATGTATATATGCATGTATGTATGCATGCATGTATGCATGTATGTATGCATGTATGTATGTATGTGTGTCTGTTGTCTGTCTGTCTGTCTGTCTGTCTGTCTGTCTGTCTGTCTGTCTGTCTGTCTGTCTGTCTGTCTGTCTGTCTCTGTCTGTCTGTCTGTCTGTCTGTCTCTGTCTGTCTGTCTGTCTGTCTGTCTGTCTGTCTGTCTGTCTGTCTGTGTATGTGTATGTATATATATATATGTTTGTATCTATATATATATATATGTATATATTTATTCATGGGAATGATTGATTGTGGCCATTCCCCCTGCCCTGCCTTCCCCATCTGAAACTCTGGGTGGCCCACGATGATGAAGTCGCTACCTCGCGAATGGAATTCGGGCGACGGTGCCTTGAACAACGCCGAAGAGGTGCAATAGGAACTACTGCCTCGAAATTAACATGGAACCTGGGTGTACATATATGTATACATAACAATATACATGTATAGATATACATATATATAATATCATACTGGGCTGCCGTCAGATCCCCCGCTAAAAGTTTAACTTTTAGTGGGTTAAATGGAAACTACCACTAAACCAAACTAAAAAGATCTAAAAAGCTACGGCTGGGAGCCACCAAGTATATATCTGCTCTCCAATTTACGGGGTGATGGGCACCTTAAACACAAATTTGAAACATGATCACAAGGGAACCCTGCGTGTATTTGTTTAGGCCCTCAATTGCTGCGGAGCCCAAAACCGAACATGGGGTTCACTAGGCTCCCATGGGGCAATTGCATTCAAGTTTCCCTAGAAACTGTCGTCTCCAGAATTTTCGTTAGAAGTCACTAGGGATGACAAAAGGGAGTTTTCCTAGAAACTAGAAATTCCACAATTCTCATTCCCTAAAGGGCAATGAATCACCAGCTTAAGGAATGAGAATGGGAACTTCCCGAAATTGTCATCTAGAAATTATCATCTGCTAGAAAGGGGCCATGTTTTTTAGGCATGTCAATGTGCAGCACCTACTTGAGGCAGACTCCTGAGACAATATCCTTGCTGAAAACAAACATGGGGAAAAATGGGAAGAGCAAGAATCCACGAATCCTGATAAATTTCGTGTGCCGCCTCCCCAAGTCCTCCCCCGGTGAACAATAGACTGCTACTAGGTCCTCCAGTAGAGAGGTTAGAATAAGGATACCCCTTTTTTCCGTACTCATTTCGCTCATTTTTAGTAGGAGAACCCTCCCCAGAAAAGGGCACTACTGGGGAACCTAGGCGAATAGGTTTGTCTGTTGCTCTGGTTTAGGTGGTCCACAGGTCGCTTGCGAAGTCGAAAGTTTCAAGTCCAGGAACTCAAGCGGCCGGAAAAGCTTGGATCCAATCCCTCCCACTCCCCTGTGTAACATGGACCCGAACCCAACACTTGGTTGCTGTAACGACCCCCCTGCAAAAGTGACAAACATTTTTGGGGTTTAGTGGAAAACACCTCTATTTCCTGAAAAGCTCAAGTCTAAAGATCCAATAGCAGACAAGTGTAGAGGGATCTCCTTTTTGGGCCCTTGTTTGGGAAGTACGTGAACTTGCAGGGGGGTGGCCAGGTGGCCAGCTCCAGCCTGTTGCAAGAGAACGCTTGCACCACACATTGGCTGTGCATGGCAAATTGAGCAACCCTATTCCCTCCGTCTAGGGACACCAAGGGGCCCAAATCTTTTCATAAACCACGGATTTGGATGGGTGAGGGCAGCTCAAGCCGTTCGATTTGGATACAGTTTCCTTTTTGGTTTCTATGCAACCAGAGAAAGGCTTCGAGATCGCGAAACCCTTCGAAACAAAAAAGCCCACGTCTCTTCTGCAAAGCGCGTAAGCCAAAGATATGGCTGGTCAAAAACAAATACGCAACATTAACCCAAACTACTTGAGTGAAATCACTGGCGAGTTCACCCATACGCATCATACCCCCTTCTCCAAATATCCGCCCTTTCTTTCGTGATGTTTATTATTATCATTATTATTATTACTATTATTATTATGTGTTTTTCCCGGAACCCTGGCTTTCCATACTAAAAACCGATCCCTCGTTCAGTGACTGGTTGACATGATACCCTACGCCAAAAAAAAAAGAGGACAAAAAACAAGAGAGCAGTTCTCTCCGGGGCTCCGGCGCTTCCCAGCATGCTCCGAGTACATGTTGTTGATGCATCGCAAGCCGTACATCCGGATGCGGGCGCGATGGATCCTGCCTCGAGAGGCGTGGCTGGGAGAGTCTAGGGCTTGGCTGAAACTAGGACCCCAGCCATATGGCTGTGGCTCAAAAAACCGGGACCAACATGGGTTGCCCTGGTAAGTGCACGCATGAACCAAAACCTGCGGTTTGCCCCTCCTGTTTAATTTTGAGCCACACCCATATATTTGTTTTTGCCTGGTTCGCGAAAAACAAAGGGGCCCCCAAAAAAGCAATCAAATAAAAAGGGGAACTGATTCTGGGGAAGAGGGGACGCTTCCAACTCCATTCTTCCCAGATTCTTCTTTTCAGGAAACAATCAAACAAATCCAGGGTGCTTGAAAAGAACGATGGTTGAAAAGAATGCGGAGCAAACAATTTCTAGATACATGCATTCAGCAAAACATCATAAGTAATGTATCCATCTGTCTGTCTCCCTGTCTTTCTGGCTGTCTCTGTCTCCCAACACCCTAATCGGCCATGAAAACAAGGCACGCTTTTCCAACAAAAGTTGAAAAACCAAAAACAAGCTCCATTCGATTCAGTCCCCTGTAAAAAAAGAAGAAGAAACAAAAACGAGACAATATGACAATATGTCGTCCAGTGATAGATTCTCTGAAAACCAAGAAGGGTCACAAAATCGTCTTAACCAAATGGCTGTGGGTCAAAACCAATGGTACCATTTTGGGGTAGGTGCCATTTTAGTCTATTTCAGTGGGGATTGGGGGCTAACCGGGCTTTTGACCCGCCAAATGAACCTGGCTCCTCGTCTTGGCTCAACATCAACATCGACTCGATCCGATCCGATCCGAATTCTGATGTCTCCGATTTCGCGCCTGGCGCGCGCTAAAGCCAGCTCGCCGAGAGGTGAAAACTGGAGCCCATGGCTTCGGAGAAGAACGTCCACGCCAACCCACGAGAAATCGGCTGGTCAGAAATGGGGGGGGGGGAAATGTTAACCCCCAAACATGGGTTGGTTGCCCGGGATGGCAAAATGGATATACGAAACCCTGCTTTTTTGTTTTGTTTGTTGTTTGGCTTCGTTTTGACATGCATATCCCATATGAGTAAGGCAGAAGTTTTTAGGAAACCAAGCAGGTAGTAGAACTAGCGCCGTGACCAATACAGGTCTTGGGCACTGACATGGCACTGACTGAGACTCTTTTTTGGGCGCCCGTGAAGTAGAACTGACCCGGGCCTTGGCGCAACATGGACCGACAAGCAAAGAAAAAACAAACAAAAGATCAAAAGGTCGATTCTCTTTGGACGGCTCAGCACTTCTGTGTTTGCACTTCAGGTTTGAGCACAGGGTTCTGGCTGAGGGTTCTGGTTCAATTGGCTCCCAAACTGCCAAAGTCCCGATTTGCGGGGCAGTGACGGGACCTCCCTTGCTCAAGACAGCAGGCCAGAATTCTCGGTGAGGTGAATCAATCGCCCATGACTTGCGTGTGGCCCCAAGGTTTCTTTGACAGGAAGCCCTTTTGCCCACCTAAAAGACACCCAGAAGGACAAAGCAACCTCTTTCCATCAACAACTCAGCTTTTAGGTTTCGTTTGGCCGCAAAACGCCTTCTTTGGACTTGATTCACTGGGCCAAACAAGGCCCAAAAGGCGCCCCGACCTGTTCGCGCTGTGGTTCAGGTGCTTGCTGAGCAGAAAGGGGATGTTCCGACGGTGCCTGGCGATGGGCGACTGCCCACAGACGACCCGCCGAAAAAAAAAAAAAAAAAGGAAAAAAAGGAACAGGGGTTGGGCGGTTCAAAATATCATAACTTACTTGGCTGTGGTCAAAACCCTGTACCCCTGGTGAACATCAAAATAGGTGGTACATGGGTGTTCATCCGCCCCAAAATGGAGGCATAGGTTATGACCCATGGCCACTTTGTTAAAGCATGTATATTATATTGGTGAGTCAATATGGTTCAAATATTGGAATACATCATGTCCATTGTCTAAAGTCAATCCCTTGTGTTGGAGAACATTGTGTTTCAAGAACCTCCTTTGAGATTACCTGCAAAGGAAACCTGGGGCTGTTACACATTTTGCCCAACCCGACCCAGGCCCTCAAGTGTCCAAGTCATGAAAACTATTTGGCCTTGACACCCCATACAAAAAAAGCAGAACTTCCGTGCTACATGCTAGGAAACACAAGCTGGCGAACGGTCAACCAAAAAACAACCAACGAACAAGGGCCTCTGCGCTGCTTGGCGCTTAGCGGCGAGGACCCATTTTGTCGTGGGGTCCCAAATGCAAAACAAAACTCAGGCATGGTGGATGGTGATAGTTTCGGGGAAAATATCGCAATAGCGGCAGAAACAAGGTGAGTCATGATCAAAGCCCGGAATATACACATGGTCTACCCATGCAAAGAGTTGCCAGGGCGGCAGCACCCATTTGCGTTGGGACTGGCCCTTACTAACTTTCATCTATCCGGGGTTTGATTGCGGCTTAGGTATGCGAAAGGATACTGTTCGATTGCGCAGCCGGGCCCCCAAAATCCGTTGACGTTTGGTAGCAGGATGACTATCAGAAATCAGGTCGTAACAAAAATCTTGTTCTAGGACGCTGAACCCATGCTACACGCCCTCTTAGCTTCGCCCAATTCTGGGATACACATAGCAGGATTACGCTTCAAATTCAGTCAACCCTAAAGAATAATCCATAAACATATTTTTTTTGCAGATTCTGTCATATTTCGTCAACCCAAAATCATGTGCAAACTTGGGAGGAGACCCGTCTGAAATGGCCCATAGATTTTGCTCATTTTCAGGCAAGCAACATTGATTGCCTTGAGCCCTGGCCTAGAGCTCCTGTTATCAAAACCCGAGAATGGTTCGCCCAGAACCATGCTTCAAGAATTAAGGCGGATACCCATAGATTGTTGGACTATCCCTAACTTTCATCTACCCGGGTTTGATTGTGGATTCCATGTGGCTGGTTTTCTGAGGGTGCCCTTTCGGCTTACTTGGCTGGGCCTCAAAATAGAGAAATGGCCATGGGTCAAAATCACGTACCCCCAGTGAACATCCTAATCCCCACTAAAATAGGTTCCAAAATGGGTGGTGAATTCACCAATCCCAACCAACATGGGATCCCGGTTAAACGGTTTTCACAACCACAGCCGCTTCACTTCACTGCGATACTGTTGACCAAGGATTACTAAACCCGTCCCATTATTAGAGGTCCAACCGAGTCGCAATCAAAACCTGGTACTAAAATGGTCTACCCAGAACCATGTACAGGATTAAGAAGGCGGATATCCGCAGCTTTTTTATGGCTGGGATCGCCCCTTACTAACCTTCATCGACCCGGGTTTTGACTGTGGCTCAAAAGTGGTCTGAATCCCCAGCCCAAACCCGAAGCCATGGCTTCGCTTTCCTTCCGTCTTTAAGACCCACCCGCGAGGTTCCACGCTTTCACGGGGCTCGGAGCCCGGCTGACGGGCAGGGTAGGGGTCGCAGTAGTTCGAGTCCAGAAGCCCCCGCCTGCGGAAAAAAACCCAAGCGCCACCCAAGAAGCCAGGGTTAAAACCGGTCCTTGTTGCTATCTATGTGTTACTGCGCGACCTAAGAAACCAATTGAAACCGTTCTTTGTTGGTATCTCTGCGTTGTTTGTTGCTCCACTTTCAAACCATGGTTGAAACCATAAGCTTTTGTTGGTACTCACAGAGGAATCCAATCATTGCAGGGTTCTTAGCTGCAGGATTTCGTCCATCAGTATGAGCATGACTTTGAAGAGACCCGACATGGTGGAGATGGGTGGGGAGAAGAAGTCCAACCACTTTTGGATCGGTTGTGACTCTTAAAATTTGGTTTGTCATATTATGGGTGCGTCAAAAAAATGGGAGGAACTCCCCCAAAATGGAAATGGGGGATCAAACCCTTCCGGTTTAGAACTCACATTTGTAGGGTCTCTAACAGGGATCCTTACATTATACACCTGAACATTGCTATGTAGATGGTGGCTTCCCTTTAGTTTGGTGTTGAAAAAGCAACATGTTTCAACTGGTGGCAAAATGGTGATCTTTTAAGGAGCCCTGTCTAAAAAAGGAAGCCACCACATTCATGTTAAGCGTCTTGCCTCCTGGGATCCTTCTCCCTAGCCTTGTTGAATACCTAAGGGGGGGTGGTCCAACAAAATGGGGGTTCTCCAAGGCTCCCAAAGATAGCTTGAGGAACGCCAAAGAAAAAAGCACTCGAAATGGGTTGTACCTTCCCCCCCCATTTCGGATGGGATTCCATAGATGGATTACAGGGGAAACGTCCCGGTAAGCTGGTGCGATAGGTAGGGAATGAGGAATGGAATGAACCGTTTGGCCCTAAAGGAAACCACCAGTTGGATGGTTTATCTTGGGGTCATACCATTTCTCATTCCCTGGCTATCGCACCAGCAAGAAAGTCAAACGCAGAAGTCCGAAATCCACCTGTTCCTCCCACGGCTTGCTCGCTCGCTCGCCCATATTGGCAGGCAGGCGGCGGCGACAGCAGGAGCATGAGGATCAGCGTCAGGATGGAGGCGTGCAGCTCCAGGTCCTGATGGAAAACAGCAGAAGGAATGACCCCGTAACAATCCTCTACTATGGTTTCCTTTAAGGGAATCCCTAGGTTCATGGGTATCACCAGTTGGGTCGACTGCCAAATCCTTTTAGGAATGCCTATGCTTGAGAGGTGTTGTTATTTTGTTCCAGATTTTGCCAGATGTTGTCAAAATTCACCAACATTTTGCACCAACATGACCCGAAGAGAAGAAAGCATCCTCTACTATGGATTCCTTTTTTTGGGACTTGTTGGGTTCATTGGTTGCACGAGTTGGGTCGAATGCCAGTTTCAGGTCTTGTCTTGTTGGTTCGATAGGCAGGGAATGAGGGAATGACCCCGAGATAACAATCCTCTATCTTTTTAAGGGAATCCCTAACACCCGGAAGGTCATTCTCTACGTACTGCACCAGCAAGTTGACTGTGTTAGCCGGATTAGCAAGAGAATTGGGAAAGCG